CTTCTCCCACGCGTGAACACAGAGGAGGGGCACTGAGCTGGAGAGATGTGTTCAGCCTTTAAGAACCACAGTGGCGTGCAGAGGGCCCCAGAGAGGAGCAACTGCTGGCTGGAGAAGTAGGCTTTTTCCCCCTAGGGCTTTAGGATGCAGCCTTGGAAAAACTAGGAGCCGAGTAAGCAATTCAGTCCAAGTTAGCGCTGCAAAGGCAATGACTTCAGTATGCCCAGCATTTATAGGAGAACATCCAAGACCCTCTAAATAAACCATCAATGAGCTTGTCCACAGGTGTGAGATTCTTGTCATTAGGGCAGGGAGCCTTTCCATGAATAACTGTCTAGAGCTGAAACTACCTATGAAAAGTCCTAGCAAAGGATTTGACATTTTTTCTCCAAACGCTTGTACACAGCAGGGAAAGTGAAATCCCTAGTGAACCAGGTTCCATCTTAAATTTTGGATGTCCATAGAGAAAGAAATAATATTGCCAACTCTGTTTGCATTACAGATGATATGTAGGATGTTTGTTTTTTTTTTCTTTCTCTCCGGGGAAGAGAAAAAGGGGTTGACAGTGTTTTTGCACAAAAACGTCAGTAGTCCAGTACAGAGCAGAATGATGGTTTGGGCATTAAAGACATTTATCCATTTTCTCATCAGGAGGAAAAATAACCCATGGCAAAAATTCAACTGCCCACAAAAAAGTATAGCTTCTTTGCAAGAAAAAAAAGCTCAGACTGGGACAATGTTGTGGTGGATATATGCAATGGCAAGAGAGAGAATCCTGTAATTTAAAAATGCCACTTATGCATCTTTTTACTTCCAAAGGCAAAGACATCTTTATCCAATGCAACAACCCAGATGACATCAAGGTGAATTTCCAGTAGGATGCTATGGCTTACAGAACAAGTCATGAATACTTAATATACCCTTTAAGTATCTTAGTTCCACCTCGAAAAGAATTATCCTTGCACAGACCAATGAATCTTGCATAGAAATTCACTGCTCTGACCTGCTCCCTTAGCTCCCAGTTTAAAAAGGGTCCAAATAACTTTGATCTAAGCATGTTTTCCCCATCTAATCTCCAGAATGAAAAAGGTAACCTAATATTTTTCAGGTATTGTTATCCTGCTTTGAGGCAGAGGGATGGATTCGTTAATCAGAGGTCCTCTTTTCTTAATTATTACGTTATCTTCGAATTTTGTTTTGCTAGCATCAGTTCCCACAAAGTTTTCTTTCCTATGTATTTATGTTTATATTCACTTAAGTAGCAACTTCTGAGACTATCCAGAACTAAAACATCCCTTAGTATTGTTTGAGTTCAGGCTCTCTATATATCCTTTGCATAAGATAACATTATGAGCCTTTTTAAGAAGGACCCTTACGCCATCCTGTCTGCAAGATACTGATCCTGTGATGAAACCAGAAGGCCAGATGGAGAGAACAAAAACTGGTAGAGTGGCATGGTACACCCAATCTGCAGAACAGGCCTTCAGTGAATACACTCTACCCTGCCCACGTCATCACCTTAAAAGAAACATTTTCTTTCCTATTATCTGTATTATCTTTGAGAGTGACCTGGCCTTGAGGGTGGGGACAAGCAGCAAACCTGGACTCAAGCCCAGCTTCCGGGCTGCTATGGCACATAAATATAGATGCAATCTTGGGTACTTTTATGGGTTGTCACCGCAGGATCTGAATATTTTTTCAACACAGCTATGCCTGCTGAAGTGCGAAATACGCTATTATTGACAGTCACAAGTAAGGGACTGTGACCCAAATATTCTAAAGGGGTGTCCACAGGGCAGATAAGGGACCAAAGCAGGTTAACTGTGCTGGCATGGTACGCTGGCCAGTATGACTGAACTGTTGCATAAGACAACTACCTGGTGATCTTCACCTCACTGAGGTGTACCCTCGGGGCACACCCAAAAGGCATGTAGGGTCTTACTATCAACAGATGATAGTTCTGGTCTGCTTCACCAGAAAATAGACTGAGACACCTTATGACTTACTTTTAATGGTGGTCATAGGAACATGGAAATCATACCTACTCTGTAAAAGTAAACCTTTACATACAGAAGATTAAAATTAAAACTTAAATAATTATATTGTCTGAGTGCATATCAAAATATTTCAGGAAAAAGCAGGAGTTTAAAACCAGAGTTAAGTGATTAAGTGAAAGGAAGGAAGAAAGAAAAGATGGTACTAGAATACATATAAGGCTATAGAATCCAGGAAAATTTTTAGTGTCTTTAAAGCACCTCTCTGAAGAGAAGACTGCGAATTTGTAAAAGAGACTAAACTGAGAATAAAAAGCTCCTGCAAAACTTATGTCTTATTTATGTAATCTGCATTATCATACGTTACAGAAGTTCTCTCTTGATGTTTCAAGGAACCAGCCTTTTAGTGACAAAGTCTTTCCTCAGCAGCGTGAAGCAAACAGGCTTTCCTCTCACCCTACTCCCAACCTTGTTCCAGGCTTTTAAGTCACAGGTGACATAATTTGCTATCAGATGCTACTGTGAATTCTAACAGATTACTATGCTGCCCACTGATCTGCTATGTTAAAATGGCTAATTAAACACACTGAAAAAAAGACTGATGATACCTGTGGAGATCCACCAGTGCAGTACGATATCCTATTTCATCTGAACAAGAAAAGGGTGTCTCAGTTTCTTATCTTCCAACCAACACACATTTTCAAGTGCGAAACACCTTGTAGACTTATTACATGGTTGAAAAGAATTGTCTTATATTTCCAGTATGGATATGCCATGCATATGTTAATGAAATACTTTTATATTTATACGTTCCATTTCTATATTTACATTAAAAGAAAATTTTTTTAAAGATTAATGGAAGTGAGAAGAGCTAGCACTATAAATGCATCTTTATGGTTTTTACCAATGAAATATTGATTCCAAGAGAAAAACACAGATCTTTAACCTAAATATCCTTCCATTTACAGATGCAGTGCTTCACTTTCGTTTGGTACCAAAGTCAAGCTCTGTAAAAATGGAATGGAAATAATTGTGGCTGGGGTGAGGAAGGGGGAGCCTGAGTACATTTTTAAATTGAGCTTATTTACAGACCTAAATCCCCGACCACATGATTTCACTCCTTTGATCATTTCTTTGCAATTACTGTAATAAAAAGTATAAAAAACACTAACAATTTTGAAGGGCAGGACCTAATCATCTGTACTCTGTTGTGACTGTGTGGGGGTCTTCAGTGCTTGTTAAATATGCCCTATTTTGACCTGGAATTCCAACCCACTGTTTGAAGACATGAAGAAAGCCCAAAGACAGGCTGCTGCTAAGGAAGCCAGAGTACTACGTTTTTTCTGGATCTTGGGCAAAGGAGGAAATCGGTTTTCAAAGTAGGTTCTGCCAGTTGTTAATGTGCTAAGTGATAAAAATTTAAGATACTTTTTATTTCTTTACCTCATTTAGTATTAATGTATGAGACATCCACCGCCACAAGGATTGGACTAGTCCTTACTGGTTCTTTCTAGTTTGCTCACAGTGACTTCCCTAAAAAAGGCAAAGTGACAGGCTCCCTAGGTGAACTGAAATGAGACTTGCATACAAACAAGTTCAAGGCTTCTGACTCATGAATGATTAAAATGAAGAATACTATGGAAGCAGTAGAGAAAACCAACTGAGCCATTTTCCTAAAAGAAAGTAGAACTATGAAAGATGTTTCTGGCCTTACAGTCAACCCAACCCAACTGCTTTCTTACAAAAAGCCTGCGACAGCAGAGAGGTACTGAAAATGTATGTGATGAAATAGTGTACCAAGGGTAATGATCCCCTCTCGCCTTTTTTGTATGACCCTTCTCAAATTAGCTGAAACTACTGTGGGGAACTTCTGTGTTACATGTTACCACAGCACAGGTGAAACAAGGTACTGGGGGGGAAGTTCATCAAAGGGTACCACTTGTTGCCGACCTCGATTCTGACACTCAATCTGCAGTGGCAAGACAAGTGGAAGTTACTATTGATTTGTTCTGGCTGCTTTGGAAGTGCAACCGCTTTCTGCTTCTCTCATCTTTCACATCATTAATTATCTTGAAAGAGAGCATGGTGTACAGACAAGACTTGTTACGGAGAAAACTGTATGACTGAACATGAGGTGACAGTACAAGAACATGACTACAGTACCAGAGGATTAGCACAGGCAGATTATTTTGCCTTTAATAATGCCTCTGAAGGTATAGTCAGTAATAAGCATCTCTGACACACAGACTAGTTCTCTTCAGTTGTAAAAAGGAAAAGTAGGATTTGTAACCATTTAGTCACTTTTCCACTCTTTTTACTGAATACATCCTTTGTGAAAATCCTGGACCACATATTTTTTAATTTACATTTTGGGAAGGAAAGAGACAGACTACTGAATTTCTCACCATCCTAACTCAGTCCTTCAACACTCCAGCCAACACGCTCACCCATGCAGTTTCATGCAGATCCACCAATTAAAGTTCTAGTCCTGCAATAGGCTCTCACAACGGCAACACAAGAGCCCTGGCAGAACGCGGAGCAGCAAGAAAAGGCTATAGCAAATTCTAGTTCCAGCATAAGCTATAACGGATGGTGCGGTTTAGCTGTCAAATTAGTTTATAGCAGAAGATCTCCGAAGAAAAATTTAGCTTTCTGCAGAAAACAAGATCAGTTATTAAACACTCAGTATATTTCCTCTTATTCAGTCCTAGCCAAAGCCTTGAAATGAAACAATAAAGAAAGGTTCCTTTCAGCCTCAGTGCCCACATTTCAGAAAGATGTATCTATCTAATGCAGCATCATATACCTAGGAGAACAAATAAAACACTATGGGATTCTTCACTTCAAATATCATTTGACTTTTTTCCTTTTTCTTTTGTTTTTTAAACTGGAAGGCTCTGAAACTGTTTCCACATGCTATTTAAGGATGCTAGGTGTTCCCTAGACTCTCACATTCATTTATGCTCAGAATACTCAAGCTCCTCTCAGCACAGCTTCCCCTTTTACCTTCTGTCGCTGTTGAATGTTGCTCATCGTGTCTGGCTGAAACTCCAGTTTGTCTGTTCGACAAAGTTTCCAGTATAAAATAATAACGATCAGGAGCACCACAGCAACTGGGACTGCCACACCAACAATAATCCATAGGTTGCTATTCTGTGACTCTGAGGTGGACTCCTTCAGCTTCTCCACAGCTGTGAAGTTAAAAGGCAGACAGCAATTTTATGTGGTTATGTATTTTTGAATGAGGACACTTCAAGGTTATGTATTTTTATGTTCTTGTAAAGGGTAGTTAAAGAATTTATCAGAAACCAGCCACACATCACAGGAAATGTCATACCACTTATAAGCTAATGTATGTCATGCTCAGGAAGCATGAGGCAGATGATCGATTGTCCTGGCCTACCTTCTGAAGACCTGTGCTTAAATTACTAATGAAAATACACTTCTGCCACATCATTCTGTAACCCAAAACTGAGCTGACAGAGTGAAACGGGTCCAGAAAAATGACTTACCACTAACAAAGGTGAGAAGGACTTTCCAACCTTATTGCCGGTATCCTGCTTTAAGCAGTATTATCAGCTGCCTCTTCTCTTTAGTTACACATTATATATTTTGTTACCTTCCCCACCAATAAATCACAGTCAATTTGAAATCAGTAAGACCCTCCTCCCCAAGGTGTATAGTTCCGCATTTTTTATTACTTTGTTTCCTTTCTCTGTTTCATTGTCAGTGTGTAAGATCCTTTAGCCCCAAACAGAAGAAAAAACTACTGGAAAGCGTAATCAAACCAGTCATGCATGTAAAAAGTGAACTGCAAGAATCAACAAAACTTTCATTTGCTCTATTTTGCATAGTGGTTATATGTGGGACTAAAAACCACAGCAGTAATACATTTCTAGTCAGACTGATGCACTTTCTTAAAATTATGTTTTCACGTTAAAAACAGTATCTCTATGCAATCTTATTTTTATATATAATTTTTATTAATAGCCATTCTAATGATGAACCTAGAAATTAAAAGGAAAATATTATAATTCTTATATTTTATACATCTGACAGCTCATTTATGACATTACATTTTCTGTTATAAAAATAACCTTTTTTTAATCTAGTTTCTTCCAATAAAAAGAAACACTTAAAAAAAATTTCTATGATTCCATAGCTCTTAAAAGAGCTTTCTAATGATGTGCCAAAGTTTCAACATGCAGAATAAGCTATAAACACTTCATGAAGTTTGTTCAACACTTATACCATGTTTTGTAAAGGGAATTTATTCTTGCAACTTTTTTGCATTTCTGTCTAACCAATATTACAGTCCATTAACAGATATTAAGCAGACGTATATGAGCTACTGACCTATCTTTAAACTACCATTTTAATGAGGGACAAAATGTAGAAACACATCCAGATGGTCCCATTATTACTATTTTCTTTGTTTTCTTTCTGCAGAGAATTTTAAAAATCAGATGCGTGCTAGTTCTATGGGCAAAATACCCGGTGGTACAATGTAACTCATGCCTCCATATTGCACAGAAAACAGAAAAGGTAATTAAACATTCGTATCAATGAGGTATTTTGTAGATCATATACAAGTCTGTTACTGTTTTAAAATATTTTCAAATTTCTTTCCTAATCATAACATGAAATTTTGTGTAGGTCTTCTGGCTCACTCCTTACTGCAAATTACTTATATACCAAGCTTCCTGAATAAAGTCATTATATGACTTTATATGACCTGTCATATTTATTCTGATGTGTATCTAGTAAAAGATCACATTACTTTTATATTAAAATCTTTATTAAAAGATTACATTACTTATAGATTAGTGATGGAAAAACAAATAAAAACAAGGTCAATCATATTCAATGAAGGAAATAAACTGTTTCTTTTCGCTTATACCCTCCAAAATGCCCCAACTAACATTAGCCTACATCTTTCACTCACAGAAACGATAATTCAGACAAACAAAAAATAGTGACTTGGGTTAAACTTCACTTCCATTACTCAGCTAAAGGAAACACCCATTTCACTCTCACGCCCTCCCATCCCACAATCATGAGTTTTGTGCAAGCTCCTGGGCAAGATAAGCTGTACAGAAATACTGGACTAGCACAAAGAGATGAAAACGGCAAGAAGGTATCTAGCTAGCACACTATTTTTCTAGCACAAGCACTAAAGTGAATGCAGTGAGGCTTGCACTTCAAGACCCTGTTGTTCCAAGCTCAGCAGAGTCTTCAAGAAGCAAAAGAACACCACATAGGTCACTGCAAGACTGCTAAAATTCATTTCCTCAGGAGTGTCAAAATTGCAGCATCCCAAGAACAAAACACTGCAACAGTGGTCACTGTGCAGTGCCATAATCTCCAAAGCTAATGTCACCCTTCCTGTCTCCCTCTGCTGGCATCAGTGTGGCTTACGCTGTGCAACGGTGCCTTCAATGCGGTATCCGAGGATGATTGCAGCCCGCTGGATATCAACTCTGTTCATCAGGTCTGAGCACTTCAGAGCACTGAGTCTCTCTCCATCTTGGTCCTCCACAAAATAGATCAGCTCCACAGGGTTATCAACACCAACTAACCGTGACACGTTCACAATCTGAGAAGAAATTGGAAAGCTTTTACATTTTAAGTTGTATTTATTTGGGGCTCCCATACATTTGGTCTTTCAGTCTTCACCCTCACTCCCCCTTCCCTTCACAGGGCCTGGACCTTAAGGACACTTATCTAAAAAGAAACATTTGGAACAGCTTTGCCAAGATGGCATCAGTATCTGTCTTAATTGTCACTGTGTGTAATCCCTATTGCATAAAAAACATTCCACCTTGTATTATGATGTAGAAATGCAATTGCTGTTAAAGAAAATCCCTCTACCTGTGACACCAAAGAATATGATATTATACTAACCATGTAACTGCTGTGAACTGGTACAGTTTGGAAATTGCCAATATCCAGAGAAGTCTGATGGGAAGCCGAGCTGTGTGCAGTGCTCCAAAATACAGTATGCAGCAAAGGCAACATACACACAGGCTAGTTCTCTCATCTGAGAAGAGCTTAAGTCAACATTGGACAAGTATAGATACACAGAGCTAATATTCAGTAATAATAATTTGCTTCCAAACTAAAATTCAAGATATTTTCCCCTAACACTTACACAAAAGATTCTGAGTGGAAGTCTTCCAGGGGAAGACAACATTGCTGGAATAATGTATCAGTGTCTAATTACACAAGCACTACTGAAGTGCTCCAGGACCCTGGGAAATTTACAGAAATATCTATTTTGTAACTGAAAGGAAAATTTCCAGGGAAGCGACCCCTTGTATAATACATTTTTTTGGCAAACCTGAAGTTTCCATTTTTTTTCCTATTTGTTTCATGACAACATACAGATCCAGTATTGAAGTAAGAGAACTGCTTTCACTCTAAAGATGCCAACACCATGCCACCCTGGAAGCCTCTACTACCTTTAGCATTAATCGGTTAGTAGGAGCTACTGAGGAGATTCGTGTGATTGCACTTTTCCTTCTCTAAATACCTACTTTGACTTTGCTTTGTTATTCATAACACACACCTCTGTTCCAGTTTTTCCAAATGTTAAGCAGCTACACAGGCAAATATTCTGTTAGCTTCAAATAGAACTGTTTGCTCTTCCTCAGTGAGAGCACCTGCACAGTCACCTTCATCCACCTTTCTTCAGGAAGGAATGTATTTGATGCTGTGGGAAGCAATTCTTCCTACCTACTTCTAAAAACGCTAATAATCAAAAGAATGCATGCTATGAGGAAGCCCTGTGGATACTCTCTAACCACCAAACATGTACATTGCATTTTTGAATTCCTGTAAAACAATTTTGAATTCCTGTAAAATTAAATCTTATATATAATAACTCTCCTCTGTTTAACCATTTACATGTAATGGTGAGCACAACCTAGAATTAGGCCAAACAAATAGTTCCTCTGGAAGGAATTGCCACAAATAGAGCAATATGTTTAGCTTCCTTCAGAATTATCCTTTACTGTGAAGTACGTATTTAATAAATTAGAATCTCAAATACTGCCCATAGGCTTAAAGTAAAGCAAACACACAAATGTTTGCATGTCTGAGGCTTACAAAAGCAAAGCTTTATACTTTTTTCTTTCCTAGTTTCCAATAAAACAATCATGTTGAAGGAAAGTAGTGCAATGTTCTAGCTCAACAAGGATGATGGTCTTTGGGGACATCAACTCAACATGTCCTAAAAAAGCATTTCCCAGGAGCGGTAACAGCAAGGTATATAATAATAATAATAATAATAATAATGATAATAATAATAATAATAATAATAATAGAAAAAGAAAGGAAAAAAGAGAAAGCACAATTGTCATGACAATCTTCTAGGCCAAATCAACAGAAAGCAAAGAATAATGTTCAATGTCAGTCACGTTTGGTGTCAGAAACAGAACACCTACAAATAGAGCAGAAAAATGTGCAAATTTCTGAAACACAGCAAGACCTGCTAACAGGAGCCATTAACCAATGCTGCTTCTCATCCTGAATGCTATTCATTCTTTTACCAGCTAAGGGACAACCAATCCCTGACTGAAGGTAACAAAAGAGTATCAATAAATAAGGTTTCAACACACATATTCAGCAGCTGTAAGGCTGAATCTGGTTTTACAGAACCCAGAAATATCATTAGTTAACATATGTCCCCAGTTTTGTATTTCTGCTTCAGCTGGGCTGCCTTCACGACAGCCTGGCCTCAGTGCACAGAGCAGCAGGGTGTATGGACTGGTATCTGCTTTCAGCACGGATAAACCCTTCCTAAGTAGCGCTTAACTCGCATGGAGAGCGAGGGAGTTGAAAGGCCACACGGGACTGAAAGCCAATGGGTTCTTCGCTTCATTTTATGAAACCTCTCTGTGTGTAACAAAGCTACAGAATCAAAGAAATTTAGAAGATTCTTATATTGAATCGTCATACATTTTATGGCTTTGTGGAGTACCCAAAAAGTACTATAATTATATGTGTGTTATACACACAGGGTAACAGTCAGAAACTGGCTGAATGGATTAAAAAAGAAACTTCTCCACAGCTGCCTGTAGAAAGGGCAGAGGGGAAGGGGACAGATTCCAGTGCAAGTTGCCACAACTGAAACAATCAATTTTAAAACAGAATTAAAACCAACAATGTATGGCTCCCTATGCTGAGGAACAGTCAGAGGGGACATAGGAAGAAGTAGCTGGAGCTATTTTAGCACAGTATAGAGAACACAGGAACGAGCATGAAGAAATCCAGTGGAGGGTGGAGGTGCAGGCTGCTGTTGAACAACTAAGCCCACTGTTTTAAGAGAAGTTTTATCTGAAATAATTCTTTCTGAATATACAGCATTTTATGAGTGCTCACACCACACTGAGGGAAGCTGCAGCCAAAATTTCAAATCCAAGGGGAGATGGTTATGGATTTCTATTCTGGGAAAGCTGATGGCTGAGCAGGGTATTCTTGATGTGGCTATGAGACACAACTGGACTTGCATGTAAATCCAGGAATTGTGACAGTATCTGTACTTCAGTTTTCATCTCTGACACACTGGTTCACTAAAAAACTTTTTTTTATTTTAAACTGATCTCCGAGTTTGCTGCAACACAGAAAATGGCACACTGGATCTGAACTGGTTTTAAGTCTGTTTATAAAATTAAGGTACACAGCCGCTGTGCCCATTTTTACACAGTTTCTGTATACTAAGTTTTGTGCCATTCTGCTCCAAATTATACTCTCTGTGCAGCTTCAGATTGATTTTCTCTCATATTTTACAGAGGTGTCTCTATCCTTGAAACTGCTAAGAATGCAAGCAGAGGCAGAAATGGTACTTTCCAGGCATCCCATGTGTAAGTAAGCATTTAAGCATTTTGCACTTATACTTTGGCAGTGAGAGGTGACATAGGGAGGAGGAGATACAAGAATTTCAATACATGGGAGGCAGAAAATGAAAAAAAAGAAAGAAAAAGAAAGAAAAATAAGAAAAGACTAATTCAACTTCTGTGTACAGAAACGATACCATCTTTGTTGATACTAGATGCACATTTAACCTCCACAGAGTAAAGGCTTAACTGTGTTCAGGTGTCACTAAATTTAATTTAAAAAGTGTTTTCAAGAGAATATCATAGGTCAGTGAGCAGAGTTGCCTTGGTAACCAAATCTAGTTCATAATTTAAAGCGGGGAAATCCAGGTGGTGGGCAAGCTCGCAAGGCATTTGCAGAGTGTCAGTCAGCCAGTGGGATGTCCCAGGCAGCAACCCCGTCAGGAGTAAGGAATCCCCGGGTGAACTGGTTCAGGGTTTTGAAGGCACGAGCATTACTTAGAAACAAGCAAACATGCAGGCATGCAATCTCCAAAACGTATGTATGAAGCTTATTTTCCTGTTTTCACTACATTCATCCCCTAGGGGAAGAGAAAAAAAAAAAAAAAGATTCTGCTTTCTGCCTTATTAAAAGTAGGCTTTTAGTGTCCAGGCAATTCAATCAAGTTTCAGCAGACAATGCAACATAAAACAGGTGAAGCAGGCATTGCATGTAACCTGTCCTGGGTCTGAGAAAGCTCACAGGAACCTCTCAGGACGGGAAATGGCGGTGCATCTTACAGGCAGCCAGCTTCCTCCTGAAGTGTTCCGGCGGGGGCTGGACAGGGCAGCACTTGTTGTCACAGCATCAAACACTTACCCGCTTTGGCGGACCCTCCTCGCGCTGAGCTGGGGAGACCGGGCAAGTGAACTGAGAGGGCCAGGGTGCTGAAGGCAACGCTAAGGAAATTTTCTCTTCTAGCTTGCAGAGGCTTGGCCAGCCAAGCAACTGGCTTGCCAAAACAGAGGTAGGCATAGGCTGTGGGCAACCTGACGGAGGGGCCGGTCTCTGCCCGGGGCGGCCGTCGGAAGGGCAAAATTTTTTCGTCTGAGGAGAAGGTGAAGTACAGCAGTCCCCAAAGGCTCTATTTAAAAAACCTAAAAACTCCCAGCAAGACTGGGCCTTTATTCAAGATTACACACTCGGGAGAGACACATGAGCTGTCAGTAGAAAACCCAGACAACGAACATCTGCCTTAATGAAAAGCTCAGTTCAGTCATTATGTCCCCTTCATAGCTACTACTTTCTCACACACATTACAACTGCAGTGTTGCCTAACGTGCTCTTTAAATCACAACATCGTTCTTTTTGTCACTTAGTAGAATCACCGTTTTGCTTTCTATTAGGTTTAAAAGACAACGCACGCTGAAATGAAGGAAAATTAATTATTTTTGTATTAGCTCCTGGTGTATTTTTAAACTACAATTAAGCCATTTAATTCCTCAAAAAAATTAATGAGAATTGAGTTATCATGGCAAACTATTGACAAAATATAGCACAGGGCCTAGCCTCTGCAGATGCAATGCAAACTGCATTAAACATATGCCTTAAATTTGCAGCAACAGCAGATACATATTAAAAATATAAATGACTTGCTCTGTGAAACATTAATATGAGCGTTACACAAAAATGAATGGAACTATCTCATATATAACAGTCAGGTGTGAGGCTTCAGAGGTTTTTTTGTATGTAATGGTTATAGGCTTTTTTCTTCTTTTATCATGGAGTGCCACCTGTTAACAGCACAGACAGGCAAACAGGAGGGGAAACCATGCTATTTGGGCACCCTAGGTAGTCCAAAGCTCTTATTCAAAGTGTCTAGATTTAAAGAGTAATTTTTAGCATTCTTAGATCCTAACACATGCCTTTAGAAATGAAATCTAAGCCTCACAAGTATCACTTCTATTTTCTTAGTATGTGAAAGGAAACTAACATGCCTGCAGTAACACTCACTAATTGCTTCACCTTCTGACCCACAGTCCTGATTTTCCACAGAGCTTAGAAATGTCACATTTCAATACACTATAAATATCTTTCACCTCAGGAAAAACTCTGGTCTATAGGGGCTCAGCACAAGTGAAATGCGTGTCTAGTCTTTCAGGGATATATGCATGTCCTGCTAATAAAAGTATCCAACACTTCGGTGTTACTGGCAGCTTCTGTTCTTACTTTCATTATCCTAGCAGTCACTGGTTTGTGTGCAAGGAATATATACGGGAAAATTTGAATATAAAGCACAAAGAACATTAATAGCTCTCCCTGAAGACACAAACAGATGCATATATACAACACACTTCAAACACAGCTTATAAACTTGGCTAGGAGGAATAGAATTAGCAACAGTAAAACTGAAAGTTTTATTGCAAATGACTACGGACCAGATCCTCAAATGACAGGGGAGCACCCTTGAAAGAAATTGTCCTCCACTGAGAAGCCCACTACCAGATGCATCACTCCAGCTGCACACAATAGCCTCTAAGGCTGTCTCACCTACCACACAGCTGAATATCCTGTCAAAGGAAGCTACCAAGAAGCTATAGAACCTGATGATACCTACCATTCCCGTGCAGGAAAGCAGGACACCTATCACAGACACCTAGCAGCAAGGTATCTCCTCAGCCTTCCTTCTTCCACATCTCCTTTATTACAGTGCTAACCCTATCGAACAGCGTTGGCTGTGAGCAGCTGAGAAGCCCTGTGTTATGTGGGATGGTATGGATGTGTTCACTGCAACTAAGAGAATCCTCCACTGCCCAAAGACAGCCGTTTGCAGACTCTTTGCACTAATTAAGTGGCATAAATAAGCAGCACTGTTGTTTGGAACATAAGACGCAGACCTCATCTTATGTCCCAGTAAGTAACACAAAGTCGTAAGAAAAACACTTTATTTTCACTTTCCAAAATACTATTCTTTAGCTAGAAAGGACCTGCTTATAATTTTGTGCATGCAAAAATAAGTTACCTGAGCTTTATTATGTAAAATAGTAAAACCATAATCTACACATACACATTTTATAGGCTGTGGTATCTTTGCTAGCAACATAAGGAATATTTGTTTAATTTATATGCAAAGGGGCGACCTGAGGCATAAAGAACAAAGTGCAGCAAGAGGTGTTGGGAATAGAAGATCTGAAGCAGACATCTATTTACAGCAATTCAAAGCTGCACAAAAGAAAAACAAAATAAAATCTCTATTACTGAAACAGATGTTTCTGAGACAGGAAAACAAAAGTAAGAAAATCCCAACATCTGAAAATGTAAGTGGTAGCAGAAACTGTAGGATTAAATTAAATAAAGATAATAGGTCTGAACTACTAGAAGGGCATCTGTGAAGTAAACCAACTGTCGATGAATTAGCTGGAAAAAGTAATTTTTGAGAAGATGAGCCACTAAGAAGTATTTTGGCTTTCAGTTTGTTGAACTGACTAGAACGAACGCATGTGAGGATTTAAAACTTAAAATTAAATATCCAAGTCTTCCTGGACATTATGTGAATAATTCCACCTGTGACAAAACTGTAAAGCAGCACTGGAATCCAGATAGCAGAAGCTGCCATGTGTGCAAAATTTGACATGATTAATCATTCTTACTCGAAAGCCATTCCTGTGACCAGGAGTACTGTGACAAATAGGCAGTTAAGGGATAGAATATACTTCTCTACTGCTGCATCAAGCTGCATATGATTCTATTTCATATTTCCACACCACCACCAAAACACCACAGAGAACTGTAAAGTAGCTGTTCTAGCAGAGTACTTTTTTTGACTCAGATGACCATCCCGTCTCCTTTTGCTAGGCACCTCGTGTAAGTCAGACAAGATAGCAAGTTTTTAAAATAGGATGTTGGTAAAATAATTTTCAATGTAGTTTTTAAGAAGTCATTGGAATTTTTTTGTAGCCACTTAAAATACTCAGCGGTTTCCATTTGTTATGTTTAGTTTAAAATACAACAAGGTATCCAAAAGAACCATATTTTAGGTGCAAAACACAAGCACCATCAACTAGCTAAACGTGATACATGCTTTTGAGTTATCTTTCTCAACTCAAAACTTAGAAAATATTAACTTACTCAATAATTTATTCCCCTTTATTTCTTCCTCTGACTTTGAGCTCTAAATACCTGCACAACGTTGCTGCCTGCAAAACTGGCTCGTCTCCATATCCGCCCTCTGGCCAAAGCCTCGTTTAACAGGTGAGCAAGTTTCCGCTCCATCTCAGCCTGAAACACTTCCTCCTGAATTCGCTGGTCGACGACACCCAAGAGAACTACATTGCAGAGAAAGTAACCCAAGAACACAAATGAATTAGTAAAAGTTTTCAGTGTCTCTTCTGCAACTTCAATTACAAGCTTTGAGTCACCCTGTGACATCTCACAGACAATTCAAGAGCAGCTGTATTCATATCGGAATACTGCCCAGTTCAGCTGGAGGTTACATGTTGGAAAGGAAGACATTGGGTGGGAAAAGGTTAAAAGAAATAAATTTAAAAAAAAAAAAATTAGGGCAGAGGGCATTTTTGGAATCTCAACCAATCTAAACAGACCCAGGATATTGAAGAAACAGTTTCAAGTCTAAAAAACCATAAACTTATGAGCATTCAATCGATTGTTTAAAAACAAATAAAAGAGAAAATTCAGTCCAAATTGTCTGCCGCAGCTACTTTTAGTCAAAATGTTGTGTTCGGAAGTGATACAGTGGTGGAGATGGGCAAGGCAAGGATTCAGAATCAAGGAGAAAAAATAGGAGACCAGCAGCACATGAACAAAGTTATGTATTCCAAGTGCATCTTCCCTAGATAAGATTAACAATCTTTATCACAGCACAAAAAAACCTGATTAGTAGCCCTGCCCACTTTACTTCCCAACCCCAGGTACTCCGGGTCACTGGGGCAGCTAATGCTGAGAGGAATCCCTGAGGAACAACGCATAGGAAACATGAAAAAAGTGTGGAACTTTACTAACAAGATGGCATCCAGTAAAAGAGAAGTGGAGTGAATGGAGCAATAGTCATTCAAATGACCTAATTAAACAACCCTAAAGGATAGTAAACCAACTCACCGTTGACTGCAGTGAAATAATTCTGTTTTCATTCCTGAGGCTTTCCACTACAATGGTGTATATTTTTTAAAAGTCCCTTTTTCAGTAAGTGTTTTCATGGGGTTTTTTTTGAAGTGTGGTGCTTAATAAAAAGCCATCCAATTAGATAAAATTAATTAAATATAATTTTAATTGTTTTAATTTTTAAAACAAAAATACTAAAACCACTTTTTCCATTAAAAAATTTTCACTGCAGATGTCAGAAAAAGGAAACATTTTCATGATTCTTCACAGAGATCAACAGCATTTGCCTTCTAAATTCAATCACAGACTAAGTATCACAGAATTAAATGGCAAAATAAATAGACAGTGGCCTAAGGCTATTATATACAGCAAGTAGAAGACCGTTCTTGCCTGTGTATTGAATTTCAGTATCAATGAATTATGCTTAATAGCATGAACTGTATTCTACAACTGAGAGGGACAGCTACAGAGAACACTGCATATCCCAACGTTTTATGACTACTGGGATATATGCACATATATCTGGGTAATCTAATATTAAAAACCTCATCTTTATGTGCATAAATTCTATCATTTTCCTATGTCATGAGTCATTACCCTTACAATACAATATACAGACTAAAAGTACTGATCCAGCCAAAGTCTACTAGCTCTTCCCAGGCTGCCTGCAAGAACTAGGATTACAAAAAATTCCTCTACAGCAAAAAAGGTGCTGCAATTGGCTTTCAAAATCTCACAGCCTGGAAGCTTAGAAAAACCCAAGGGGACATGATTTCAGAGCTGGAAGAACTTCTTCTTACTGCAGGATCTAAAGAAACTTCCAGCAACAACGGACAAAGCAAACCTAAGGCTGAGCAAGAGAGTGTGGGAGTGTGACCAAAAAAGCCAACATGAATCTCTATGGAAGGATGACATTGGATGTGGGATATGTCCCACATGTAGCTTCTCTCACGTTACTGAACAGGATCTGAAATTTTTCATTTTTCTTCTCTAAAACAAACTGTGTGGGCTTCAGAGATTAGGCTGCAACTTGGTTTCCTGCTCAGAAAGTAAACTGGGTCACTGGTGAGAGGAGACAGGGATACCTGAAAAAAAAATAAGTCTATACTACTGGTGAACTACAGGTGGAAAAGTTGTGGGAAGACAAAAGTGTATCCAGTGGGGCATCTGCACCTTAACAGCAAGTTTGCTAGGCATAGCCTAGTCACCGTTCAGGCTTTCTGCTTAAAAGAAGCAGGTAGGACCTCTAGCGTGCAGGGAACCTCAACAGCCGTTGAGCTTCTGAATGTGACAGCTCAACCGTATCTGTGAATTATAGAATAAAACATCCAGATCTGCTGTGAATGAATCAGAAGAGATCAATGAAATGTGACGAAACTCCTTCATGTACTTGGAATGTATCTATTTTCATCCTGTTTTATTCCTGGCACGTTTTGTTAGAAAGTGCCACAAAATAAAATTTTAATTTTCACTTAAAGTAAAATAAAAACCTAAAAATCAGTGTGGTATACTGACAGCATGCAGAATAGATACTTTACGCCTGACAGGGTAAGTTGTCTCACTAAGAATGAACTGCTTTATAGACAAAAACTACTTTGTGCACATTATCAAGGACTTGCAGTAGTTCATTCTAGACCCGGGAATTACGTTTCCCAGATATTCCAGGTCACTAGGCCTTTGGTTTTAGAATTTATTCAGCTCAGGCACGTTATTACCTCATAAAAATGCGGCACCTCTAAGCTATTGATATTTATCTAGGCTAGTTATCCTGCTAACAAAAAAAATTGTACTCTTTCTTACTCACAGAGACTGTACGTACCTGTTCTCACCCAGGAAGATTTCATCAACTGAGACACATTAAGCTTAGGATAATGAAAGGCTGAGGGAAAAACAGAATGGAGGAAAAACATCCATAAGAACAGTATTCTCAACAACATACACAAGAAAAGAAGCCACTTCATAATTTATACTGTCAGTAAGCATCTTATTTACACAGACATATTACTACTCCTGAGGCCATGCAGACACAACGCTAAGGAAAGTGCTCCGAACATACACTCCCGAGTTCGTCTCTGAACAAGAAGAAGCTAACTGAAGCAGTTAGATTTATTACGTGGAAGATTTCAAGCTGCTGTGCCGAGGTCATTGCTCCTAGAAATTTAGAAGTTCACTGACTGAATTGTGACTCTCACTGAGCTAGCTGCAGGATCAGATGTTTTGCTCAAAGGGCAATGAGGCAACTCATGAGTGTCTTAGAATGAAAATAAGACCTTCTCTGAAGCAGAAGCTACATGGAAACACTAAAGGTAAAGCAGAAAACTAAATATATCTGATTTGTGTTCCAGACTTGTGCAGGGGGAAGCATTTAAAAAACACCACCTTGATAATTTTTTTTTTTTTTTAACAAAAATCACAAATAAATGCATGTAGAAACATTGCTGTAGACAAATCTCACGGCTTTTGTGTTTGGCTTGGTGGCTCCAAGCCTTCTTAATTTCTCAATTCTTCCAGAAAAGCTCTGCTCTAGAGTGAAATCCTTGCCCCAGTGAAGTAAATAAAGTCTATTTCCACTGACTTCAGTAGGGATAGGATTTTTCCCAAGGTTTCCACTGGAGAGCAGTAAAGACATGTTGGGAAAGAAGTGAAGACGGGGGCTGGGCCAACAGTTTCCTTAAGAGAAGTCTTAAGCTTCACTATGGCAGTAAGAAAAAGGAAGGGTCTTAACTTTCTCAAAATATTTAATCCAGATGCAGTTTGCTAAGCATTATACAAAGGTTAATTTTTAAACCATTTCATGGATAGAAAGAACGCAGCACATAACAATTAAATGACCTGGTCCATGCTAGATCAATTTAGAGCAAAGATGTCCTGTCTTCAGTTGTAGAATAGTTTGCCACTATTGCATGTTTCAGAGAAATAGAAAATTACCATTTTTCTAATTTAATTATGCAATAATTTGTAGAGTAGCTGACCTCTGACAGTATACCTAAAAACTGATTCTTTTGCCCCTTAAAAAACTTAGGAATTTTTCGTTAAGGCAAGAGCAAAAGAATTACTAGTTAAGTTGTACCTTTTATTTTCATAGATTTATAAATAGTCCTATGGGAAAAAAAAAGAAAGTTTTGTTATTCCACCTTTATCTCAGTAATAGCACTGCTAGCTTCAAGAGAACCACGTGGGAGGCACTTTTTGACTTACTATTCAGAAGGGTATCAGAATATGGTCCTTTATTCTGAACAGGAAACATCGTCCCTCTATACACTGACCAGGATGCATTAAATTTCCAAAACTCTCAGACACACAAAAAGCACGTCACAGTCTATTTAAACAAACACATTTATTTTTGGCGTCCTGCTACACAATTCTTCTGATCGTAGCTTTTAGATTGGAGTTCTACTTACTCTGGTCATGCAATTGTTTACTTCAATTTAGAAATACAACCTGAACAAAAAAGCATAAACTGAACTGCATCTGTTGTTTTTCCAAAGCATGGAAAGACCAAGGTAAGAAAATCAAAAACCTTCCAATGGCCGTAAAACTTTGAACTGCTGGCAGTTGTGAGTTTTTTCTTCTTTTAAACCAAAATCATGTTTTGCCTCAATACTTAATGTGCTCTTCACACTTTTTCTAATTAGTACTTGAAAATGATTTAATTCATGCAAATTGCTGGATGACTATTCACTTAAACTTTTCACGGAATTAATGAAATTTAAAAATAAAACAACTTGAGCAGAAAAACTTGACATTGAAAAGGAAGAAGTGCTGTGATCATTGGGTCCTAAAATCCGACGAAGAACGCATGAAATGATGGACTCTTCTGCAACCGAGACCATGCTCAGAAGTCAGAAAATCCAGGCTCCAACTCTTACTCCATAGGTCACTCAAGCGTCTCACCAACACACACGTGGCCAGATCCTGAGCTCAGCTGGAGTCTCAGCACTGCAGCAAGATCATATTTGCAAGATTTAATGATTAAAACCAGCATAGACTGATTGTTATTCTGAGAGGCAAGTTGGATAGACAAAATGCAATTATTAGTTAGATTGCAGCTGGTCTGCTAATGACTATAGATGCATTAATGAAGTAGATGCTATCATTAGAAGATTCTAACACGCAGCCCTGAAGCACCACACCACGTAACAGCATTGATTCAATGCTGACTGAAAAGGCGAAGGTTCACCTGGTCACCCAGAAACCTCTTGACAACAATCTGAAGCTCACCACTCGGGCAACAGGCCTTCGCCAGATGCTCCAACAAGGATCTCTCTGACCCTCTCTCTCATACAGAGACGTGTGGAACCATGCAGGACAGAACTGGTACCATACTGATTGTTCTTATTTCTGATAAATGGAGGAACAGTAATAGAAAGCATGGAGGGAATGCAATATGGAGGGAACGAGAAAGCATCAACTGAAAAATAAGATTCTATGCAAATATTGGGGTGCAGGCAATAGTAACACACTGTATCTGTTAAAAGTCTGATCCAAAATCCACCCAGACAAAAACTGCCAGATATTTTTGCAGTCTTTGGACTGTATCACATGATTTTATATTATGTTATTGGCCTCACAACATCTCCAAGATATCTGAAATAGATGCCACCCATCAAAGTGCTACTTATGGCACTAAAAAAATAGCAAGTTCCAAGGCAACTCTCTCTATTTAAAGCCATAATAAACCCAAAGAGATTTCTTCGGGGTAAGTTCGTGAAGGCCAATATTCCTCATCTAGTCCACAGCTAGCCTTTGCCTGTCCCTCACAGAAATCTTCCAGCCATAAAGAGATATGAAATATATTCTTTCCTATTGTTTTTAATAAACTAGCACCTAAAAACTGTGACTAGACTTGGTTTTCTTTCTGCTGACATGCAGTTCATGACCATCTAACCAGTTTACGATCTAAAACGTGAGCTGTAAGGTGGACAACGCAAAATAAGCATGCAGGAAAGTGTAAACTGAACGTGTGAAAATAAGCATGTTGCTGAAGTCACCCAGAAGTCTGTGAGGGAAAGAAAAAAGCTGTAAGTTTCCAGGCTTGACCACTCCAACAGCCCTATCCCTGCACAGAACAGTCCATTCGGTCAAACTAACAACTTTCGCGCTACTGACCTTGACTGTAAATGAGTGGAAAAAGCTGACAAAAAATTCCTGTCGTTAATGACGTACTGCACAGGGATAACCCACACAGTTAAAAGTATAAACAGTACATATTAGTTATGTGAAAAATCCAGTGAAAGGACTGTGTGTGAAAGGCAACGTGAAGTTAACGAGCAGCAGGGAGCAAATACATTCCTTCAAACAAGGGTCATATTTGGGATATCGAAGGCAAGGTCTCACTTCATGTAACAGTGTTGAGATACAGTGATATTACACAAGTAGCTTTTCCTCAGTATGAATCAACTTCAATCCTCTGCCAGCTCAGCTCACCTACAAATCAGTTCTTTTTCTTCAGATGCAGACTATAAAAGTTACAAAATCATATACAGAGCCCCCAGAGGGGAGAAAAAAAATTCACCATCAAGAGTATTAACTGTTACCGTGCCTGATAACTAAGGCACAAATGGCATAGAACAGTATGGCAAGAAACATTTCATATTTACATATAAACAATTTACATATAAACAATATCATATGTAAATTATTTATATGTAAATATATAAATATCCAAAATTCCCCCAAAAACTTACATTGAAAAGCAGAGGGTTGCATATTAATTTGCAAAGAGCAAAGCAGCTACCTATCTAAGGAAGATCTTCACAACACCTTCCCTGCTACGACTCCTCTGTAGACCGAGGGACAGCATGAAAGCAAGAGAGTTCAGGGCTTGGAAAACAAAGACATTTAGGCATCTTCCTGCCAAAGTAGCTTTGAGGATCTGGCTGTTGGTCGTCCTCAACAATCTGCTGAATAAGATGTCTCAAGAAGGATCTGCCCAATGCTGCTGAGCCTTTGGACATGATTTCTGGCTCTGAATACTGAAGATCTAAAATCCTTTGGCTCAAAATACAGTCACAGCAACAGTGCAAGAAACTATAGAAACAGCTAAAAATAACTGAGCCTGGTTGCCTCGTTTATAAAAGCGTATGAGCTACATTCATTTTTGTGCTTGCTGACAGACGGACCCATAGCTCTAACAAGCTGAGAAACTGTGTTCCCACTTTGCTGACTTATCAAATGGCATCATGTCTGGTGTTCCAAAACAGTGACTACAAATGTGCCAAAACACCATTGAGACCAAACTAGACAAGTTCAAATCAAAATGAGCTGTCCTGCAGTGGGCTCAATCTACAGTAAATATGAGTTCCTCTAGCAACATGCAAGTCAAATGCTGACAAGATGCTCCTTGATTTAGAGCACCATATCCACCAAAACCTCATGTTTTCTACATTGCAAACTTTGGGAAGATCTCATCTTTCTTAAGAATTTTGAATTACTAAATTGAAATTTAATATACTTATTCTAATTTGATTTATTGCATGTATTTTATTTTAATTCAAAATTAAAAGTTTTGAAAATTCTATCTAGACAAATTTGAAGGTAGTCTTCAAAATTTCTCTGTCAAACAAACTAAGAGACACCACACCACCAAACTCTGGCTAAGATCTCCAAGGCACGTGCTCTGCTCTGTTGGCAACATTCATTCAATAAACTATGGCAGCAGTTAGGTGGTGTCATTGAAGGGTGTATACCTAGCTTGTTTGACTGCCATCATCCCTGCTACTGGCGACGTACACCAAAGCAGTGGCATTTTTCAAGAGCTCCAAATATGAGAGTCTGGGAATAAAGTGTGTATCATGATGGTCTTAGTTACAACCGGTAAGATACTCTACCTTCCTACACTAAGGGAGGATTGAGGATTTGAGGATTCGAGGTTCAGTAGTGTTTGGAAGATTTGGTGGATTTGAGGGGAGGAGGAATAATTATTCTGCACTTGAAGTCTAGAGGCCTGTGCTGGAATCTGCAGGAATTAAATTACCACACTGTTGGCATGCTTGTGTAGGATTGCCAACAGGAACAAACAATTCCTGAAGCTTCGGAAACGAAGTTATAGGAGTATCTCACCCAGAGGCTGGGACATGCCATTGTACTAACAGAGGCTAAATTTGCCAGGCCATAACAGTCAACAACTACATGACTTCATTGCAAGTCCTCAGAGCAGTCAGGAAAAGAGGAGAAATCCTAGTGAGACCTTTTTCCAAGGGCACTGCCTGACCTCCTCACTCATTCTACTTTGCATGGCTCTCTCATTAACATGTGAGCTATCACAGAGCTCCACTGGCATTGGCCAGGAATCAGCCGCACTGGCCAGGCACTACGAGCATGCAGATAACACAGGGAGAGCTCCTGCTATCAGCACTGAAGAAATTACATTCAAATTTCCTAAGTACCATCAGGAAAGGAAAATAAGGAGAACAGTGTACATGCATGTTTACTAGGAATGTTTTTGCCCTATGACCAGCTTGTCTTTCAGGATATATCTGCCTTGGTAGAAATTCTGTTATCATTTAATTGCACTGTAGCTCCATTGCACAATCCAGAAGATGGATTCTCAGCAAGGGGCAACCTGCAAATTCACTACAAGTATCACTCCAGAATATGTGGACAAAACTAAAAACTGTAGGACCAGATGTGCATATATCACAGGAAAGAAAAGCCCCATGACACCGAAAATATTACCCAAGAGACTAAAAGTAATAAATTCTAGGGCAAAAGTGCAAAAGAGACTATGCAGAGTAGAGAAATGTCTTTCAAGCAATCGAGGCAAGAGCAATGTTTAATTTGAATTCAGTGAGAGATAAAAACCACGGCCCACAACCTGAGAAGTCCTGTGGCCTCACAAGAACAAAAGAAATGCTAGTCATCTATGGACAGGGATTATCAAGGCTTTTGGTCCTAGCTCAATTAAATACAGCTACTACTGCACAGGTACAGTCTGTGTGAGACCAAGTAAGAGTAGAGATATTTAAAGAAAATGAGTCAACAACCTCATACATTTTTTATTTGACTATGGGAGCAGAGGGTTCAAAAATGCTGGAAAATAAAAACAAAGTTTCAAAAAATTAGTAAGTTTAAAGTACTTCTAGTCATTGGGAAAGTTTCCTGTGCAGTCATCTTATATAGATTCAAAGGTGCTATAGAGAACAACTTCTGTTGACAATCACTCTCTTCACAGCATCTTCACTGACATACTATTGCCCAGCTGTATAATGAACAGCAGCTGCCATTAGGCCTGATTTTCCACTAGATGTTTAACTGTATAGCAAGAATCACTGTGTTAGATGTTATGCACCTACACAGCTCACAAAAATAACTCAGAAAATTAAAAATCTGCATTGGAAAGCACAGTGAGATAGGAGAAAAGGGGAATTAATGGACTGAGTTAGCAGTAACACCCACCAGGGGGAAAAGGCAAGTACTATTCTCTCATGATCTTGCTTACATTCATGAGTCATTTCTGTCATGAACAACCCATTAGTGTACAAGGTTAATTGCTGAGTTTAGAAACTTGGCTTATTTATGAGACTGAGGTCATCTGAAAAATCTAACTAAACATAAGTTGTCAAGGCTGAGTGTCAAGAAAACTCTGCTATGCAGGCAGTTCCCATTAATCTAAGTTTAGGATGGCCATGGACTGGAAAAGATGACTTGCAATACAAGTTGTACATAAGAAGCGAGAGATACGCTTAAAAGGTAATACCTTAAAAGATAATACCGTACTCAAAAAAGCACTGCTGCTGACTAACAGATAACCCAGACAGACTATATGGGCAAATATAAGCTTATGTTGCCAGTGTCCCAGGCTTTCTAGAAGTCAGAGCCACAGTTAAGTGCCATGCAAAGCCCCAGGTAGTAAACCCTGCTGAGAAGCAACAAAGGTCCCTGTAGAAATCACCACAGACACACACCTTGGATTGCACTTCACAGCAATATTGATCAAAGCGACTTTTTTTTTTTTTTTTTTAATCCGGACTAGGACCAATGGACTAATGAAGCCAGGGTTAAGCATAACTGGCCCAGCGCAAAAGGAAAGGATGACGACAAAAGCACAAGTTGCTGTAACACTGATATGCAGTATGTGAGCAGAGAGGGGCATGGATTTGCTCTGCAGAATTCATGATACAGGTTAGATACTTTAAGCTGCATTACCACTTATGCACAAAATTACTTTAAAATTGTAGAGAGCAAAAAATACTAAAAAAAGTATTTTGCACTCTTGGCAAACAGCAAGTACTCACGTTCAGCAATTTGCTGCACAGGAAAGCCCAGATAGAAGCTGAATTCCACCACTGACAAGTTTCTTAGCTGCTCACTGACTTCAGACCCATTTAGAAAACCGTATCTATCTCGGACGGCAAAAACAATGCTCACAGGGCCTTGGCGAAATGCTAGCCCAGGCTTGCTCAGAGTTATATTCAGTATCTGAAAAGACAAGATTGAAGCAGGGTCAGCAAAATCAAATCACTGGCATTTCCATTCCTTCATTGACAGAATTTTTTTTTCCTAACATGAAGGGGGGTCAGCTCACATCAAAACAGAGGAACATCTATTCCAGATTGATTCAGCCTGCTGACTCTCAGAAGAGGCAAAGTTACATGTGAATTCCTCTTCTAAGAGTTATCCTTTAAGGTCAATCATAATCCAAAATGATCTGAAAGCTACAGTCCAGAAAGTGATGAAAAAACCCACCCAGAGAGACAGTCAGCAAAACAAACCTACTGATGAAGAAATCTTAGATGAATACCAAACTGTGTGGAACAGACAGGGAGACCCACGTTAAAGAAACCTTCTGAAAATGGATGTTCTCTTGGTCAAAACCTCCTGCACCATGCATGCCCAGACCCTGCCACTGGTTAGAAGTCTTATTTTGGCACCAATGTACACAGCAACTGCGTTCATGTAGACAAACCTCTTCCAGACAGTAAGGAAGTATTTAAAATAAAAGTTTGCTAAGCTATAGTTCAAGAAATAGTTTTGTGTGTTTGGTCTTCAGTCTATCCAGTCACATTGTGTCATTCAGTTGTACAGTTCTGAGCACTTTACTATATGTAGGTACTATGAAGTTTATGCCATTTTTCCTGCTATGATTTTATTTTAGGGTACCACAGATGAGCATTTATGGTGCCAGTTAAATAACACGACAAAATTTTTACTAATTTTGGTGTTACAACAAAGCTAGATTAAATTTAAGAATTCAGACAGAAGAGGGAGTTGGTCTCATTAAGTTGAATTACTGACTTTCCAGGGACTTTTAAGCTCTGCCATGTGATTCAGTTCCCAGCACATATGCAATACATTTTGTATATGAAGTTCCAGTAGCAGCTGCCATGGACATCATATACTGCTGTAAGTATTTCTAGACTTCAGAAACAACTAGCATTGTTTGCTCACATAATGGCAGAGTGCATATAAGTCCTATAATTCCCTAATAGGATCCCCTGAGTGGCAATGAGACCTGAAAGTTGTCTTCCAAGGAAAATATTCTAACCACACCCTACTCTGTAATAGCAAAATCTGATGGGAATGACTTTGATAAGGGTTGGGGCAGCCTTTATATGAAAAAGTATAAACTCTATTATATTCAATAATGCTTTTGGATATAAATCATCATCTTGAATCATTTTTACAAAAGTCTTGAAACCAGAGGGATATGTGGTGCTGCATTATTTTGTAGGGGAAAAAAATCCTGACTTCAGGAGAAAGCCTCATAGTTCTACATGATCTAGATGGCAAGTGGTAGCCAGTGAACACCTAACTCATTTAACTGGCTGAATGAAACACAGGACCACCAAAGGAGAGGAGAAAAAGGGACAGACACAAAACATGCTAGTCTTCTTACCTGCACAGTGAAGTTGTAGAACTCTTGGTGTTTGCTCACTTCCATGAATGCCATTGTCAGCCCTTTCTCAATGCGCCGGCTAAAGTTGCAGAACCCAACATCCACATTCCGAGGCACAAACTGAAGCACTGAAGGCAAAGGGTACACGTTATTCCTACAGACAAGTACTTCCATGAGAGAGAATAAAATGAGGAAGAGAATCCACAGGGCTATCACTTTTTCGTGGAATTCAGGACATATTCAGTGAAACACTGGGTAAAAATACAGTAGAAATACATTTTGTGTTGGTGCACTAAATTCTCTACTCATTAATATCTGTCGCAGCAGTAATTAGATTACCAAAAGATATTAGTGACAAAATACCCACTGTTTCCTCTTGCATACTGGAAGACCTTTACAACATACATGTGGCTAATTTTCAGGACTGGAACACTGAATCAGCCACACTGAAATCCTTAGTACCCAACAGATCAATGAAAATCTTAAGGAAAAAAGCAACAAATCTTTTTTTCTTGTAGACTGAAATACAGTATTTAGCTTGTCTAAAAGACCTCATATCAGGTCCATTAATACAGATTAGTATCAGTCTAACACTTTCAAAACACTTAATTAGCACACAATCTTTTAAATCTAGATACATACACCTTCTTTCACAGAAGAGAAAGAAAGAGCACAGGAGAGAAAGAGTGAGCGCAGAGGAACGTGAGCAGTCACACAGACCTTAACTACATGCACATCTGTGGATTTCCTGATATAGTCTTACCCAAAGAAATGCTATGATTAAATTACAGACCCTAATAGCAATGTTATACAAGGTTCAAGAACAGAAAATATGTCTACTGTCTATCTATATAACCATGTTAAGCAGTGGAAAAAGACATTACACCTGCACAACTAAAGTAGTGATGTCTTACCATATAGTTACTAACAGAGCAGAAACAACACATGAAACATACCTGAAAAAAAGCACCGTGTTTGACATTCATTAACTCTCTGCCTATATACTCAATCCCTGTCACTACCTCATTACGCAGTCAACCAATCAGGCAGATGGTTTTGTTATGCAAATAGTGCCTGAAGAAGATTTTAAATGATACCACTGACTCTCAAAATCTATCACATGGGTAATATTTTCTTTAGATTATTAGTAGTCATGGACTTCACAAACTGCTGCCATCCAGCAGCCATGGAAAGCTGAATACATGAGCAATCCACCTGCTCACATTACACATGAGCAATCAATCCTCCTGCTCACCAGTTCTCTTACATTATGAGAATTCTAAAAAGTAGTATTTAAGGTAAACATAATTTGAAACTTGACTCAAGCATTATAAAGTAGCTGCACTATGATTTTATGAGTAAATGTTTCACAGAAACTTTTTTCTCTTCTCACTTTTTGAAGCAAGAAAAAGAGCACACCTATTTTGCAACGCGCCAAAAAAAATTTCCTGAAAAAAATCATGAAATTATGGGGTTAACTGTTTACAATTTATCATCTCTCAACCACAGATCTGCAAGTATTTCACTAACAACCAAGAATTAAGATTCACAGCAGAAGAACACAGGATTTTGACTTGACCTTGCGTACTTAATCACGAGTGAAGAAGTGTGAATCAATACAAAGCTACATTTCCTCCTCTTCGTGTCAGGAAGAACTCACCTGTCTGAACTTGGAATCTGTTATCTGGCACAGTGAAAGAAGGATGCAGTGAGAGGATCATGGGGGTCTCACCATGAAAAAGACTGCTGTTCACAAGCACATTTATGACAGCTACTGCCGTGTAAACAAAAGGACCTGACGTCACCAAGAAAGCAAATTTGGGGGAAATTTTATAAACCTACAAAAAAAGAAAAAGAAATAAAAAAAAAAACTTCAATGTGAAATTTGGCAACACTTTTGACCTACATAGTCTCATGCATTTCAAAGCCACATCATCAAGAGGTAGGAAAATGCAATCTTTCTTTTTCAAAGAGAGAGCAGAAGCATAAACACTGATAGTGCTGTGCCTTGCAGCCTCTGCTGCAGCGCATCAGAGTCAACTCCCCTGTGCTAGGTGCACCTACCAGAATCTCTTCAGTATAAGACACCAATCTCAACACTTTTTGATTTATCACATCCCAGCATAGTAGCTGCTTGCCTGCCTTGCCTTGCCTGCATTCCCCTGGAGTACATAAGAGTTGCCATACAAAATTGCTGTTTACTTACTGAACTGCCTGCATAGCTTCTGCATTTTAGTCATATACTGCATAGCACATACATCCTATACCATTCACATGTGATATGCAAGAAGCAAAATACACATAACCTGTGTTTTACGGATATAATTTTCACATTCAAGAACGCTTTCTTCCAGAGAACACTTCTATCTGCTTATTTCAGCACAGTTACCACAATTACAATTTTCCTCTTCCAAGTCGTCTCCTGACTTCGAGTCTTCTTAAAAACCCTGAGGAGCCTTAGTCATCGTGTAAAAGAAATGAGATTGTAAGTTAAATATAAACCTAGGTGAATGTTTCCATGCAGACACTCTTATCCACCATTTCTCTGTCACCTAAGTAAAAACAAACTGAAGGCTTTTATTTATTTAAACATATTGCAGTGTCTTCTCTCCTTCAGAGAAACTCTCTCAATATCAAAGACACCTGTTTCCCCAGCATTATTTTTTTCCTCCTTCGTTTACTCCCCCAGTTTGCTTTATTTGCCTAAGGCAGTCACACTAAAATATTTTGAGATGTCCAACATGATGGCCTCACAAATAAATAATCTAAACCAGAGACCCAAAGGTTCTGAAAAATGTGCACCTCTTAGATGAAGAGATGCTAGCACCTTGCAGGCTTTGTGCTGGTAAAGAGATATGTTAGATATCCTCAACTTCAGGATCAGCCTTATAGAAAAGCACAGTGCTACTTAAATTGTGACCCACATGTTCCTTACTGGTATTTCTGCAACAGTGTAAAGTGATGGCAATTGCTGTTTAGATGAGACAGCAAGCAGCTCTTTCCTGTCCTCTAAAAAACATGCATTTCAAAGAGATTATCTTCACCAGAAGAAACAACCTTAGTAGCAAAAGGAGGAAAAAAAAAAAAAAAAAAAAAAATCTATGCTGCTCATTATTTCTTTCTTCCTTCTTAGCCCACAAATATATGCAGCATCCAGCTTTTATTTTAAATGGATTTAGACCCATAGAACTCAAATTGGTTTGATATGAATAATATGCATAGCTCTCTTCAGTTCCTCTTATCTGAAATTTTATCCTTTTATCTCAGGATGAAATGATCTCTGCAGCTTCAGTTTGTCAAATGGAAACAGCAGTTATAATGGGTAAGATATGACAAAAGAAAGTTGCCCATTACTTGCAAAGGAGATGACTTAAAAGGCAAGAAAAAGAGGAATTAGAATTACAAATCTCAGTGACAATTTGCTGGTGATTTCTAAAGCAATATGTGCTGAGGAAGAGAGGCCTAGTACAGCCAGCATGTACTTACGCACTAGAGTTAGGTATTTCAGACAAGAAAGCAAGCCTCTGATAACTAACTCAGCTGCCTCCATCTCTGACCTGTTGCAGTGCACCACAGATGCAATGAAAGCAGCCTACCCCGAACACCCCCTGAAATTTTCCAGACTTTTTCATCTTAACAGCTAACACTGTGTCTCTTTTGTGCTTCACTGCAGCAGAAGAGCTACAGCAACTCCAGAAGAATGGAAATTTTAAAAAAAACCTCTAAGTGTAATTCTGAGGTAGGTAGATTAGAATCACTACAGGTCAAAACAATAGCTATTTCAGCTTCAGATACTGCAGGGTTGTTTAGTGTTAGCTCTCTACAACCTAATTCAGATGACAGAAATAATGTAGCCATGCCAGCATGATGCTGTCTACATGCTAATTCACAGAGGAGTTTGCAAAGTTGTCTAGGATAGATGACCACAGCTCATGACTCTTGATTCAAGAATGAGAATAGCTCCTCTTGACACAGCTCTAATGGTTCACAAACGCAGGCAGCCAGCCATCCAACCCTCTCTTGGCGGTTTCACCTCTACTGCCAGGACAGTTAGATGCTAACAAATTAACTAGCTGAACCACCACATTTTAGAGTGCCACCTATTAAAGTAAACAAGCACAAATTTCTTGTATTAAACAAGTACAAATTTCTTATCTTAACACTTCGGGCCAGAAAGCCGGAGAAGAACACAAAACTCCATGTGCACTTTGGAGCCGTTCCCACAGCAAAAGCAGAAACCTTCAGTAGGAGCAGAGAACCCTTACACCACCTCAAGTTAAGCTATCGCTTCTAATAAGTGCGACGGCTAATCCAACTCTGCTATTTCCAGGACACAACCTGTCTCATTCAAAGCTACCTCACAAGAGAGCGCGCTTCTAGCACGGAAAGTTTTCAAGCCTCGATTTACTCGAGGCTAGAAGAGTATTTGGGGAAAACATCATTGTATGCTTACTCTGTCCCTTATTATCTTCCCTAAGCATTTGATATTGATTATTGTCCGCTAAAATATTTGATTAGATGCACCTTTGCTACAATCTAATCCATGCCTACACTCTACTGTATTATGCTGTGTAAACATCTGGCAGAAAGCAAACCAACCTATTTCCTCTCCACCACCTTACTAAGCATCCTGTAAAGAGCCTGCAGATAGCATTTCACTTCCTGAAGATGGGCTACAAAGGCTCACAGGTCTTAAAAATGAAACAAAGCTTCTGCTTCTACACACATTAGGATCCTAAGGCAACAATTCTCTCACCGGTTTGACACACCTGAATAGTACCAGCCAGAATTCCAGCAGCGGTGAGTAGTGATGAAGCCAGCGCAAGTCCACAAGGTGGCATCTTTGAAAGAAGTATTTAACTGCCCGACCAGGAACTGATCTCACTTTGAAGGCAGAGGTTTACTAACTTTGGATTACAGAAACCACCAGGCTAAGGACAGGCCCCAAAACCCACATTAAATACAGCAACAAAGCGGCTGAGGTATACATTATACTGCATGATAAAATTTCCAAGCACAAATGAGGCTGTCAAAAAGCTTTTTCCTGTTGGCATGAATTTAATGGCACCAGGGGTCCTGGCAGCAAGTCACTGCCAACACTATTTTATTTCACAACCCAGTGCAACAAAGCTAAGTCAAGGGAACATTGTATAACAGATCTTACCCAAGTGTCAGAAGGTTTACATTAGAGAAAGTTGACAAAAATTACTCTTATTCAAACAATAGGGTCTTATTCTTTTGCAGATGCAATACATTAACATCAACTGGAAAGAACTTTAAAATTTTAGGTTATTCTCACTTTGCTGTAAGGACTTTTGCTAGGAAAAAATTGGCAAAAGTTTTCTTCACTAGGCAGGATTCAAGCCTGCCTCCTTTTTTTTTTTCCACTTCAACAACTCAGAATATTTGAAATACTAAAGAAGCAGAGACCAAAGTTTCAACTGAAAAAGCTGGGGGGAGAAGAAGTTTTCATTCTTCTTTCAGTGTTAAACTTGGTTTGTACTTAAAGTGAGCAGTAGTTATATCCATCGTTGCCATGGATTTTATTTTTAAAGCATACATTATTACCAAGTTAAATTTAACAAGACTGTCTCCTCATTTACTGTGCACTACATCACAGCAAGGGAACAACATCTGTGAGCTGTAATAGGAGACACAGTAAAAAAGCAGCTTAGAGAAGTGCACTGCTTTACCATAACTTGCAAATGTACACAGGGTTCCTGGGTACTCTTGACTAGCAAAAGTCAGGTCTGTTTGATTAATTAAGTTTAGCAATATAGACAAATTCTGTTTAAAATTTTGCATTACATCACCATTAAACATGCCAATACTATAGACAGCTCTTCATTTAAAATAACAGTTTTGTTAGTATTTCACCATTAAGAGATGAAGACATTTGCTAGTCATTATTTTTAGTGCAAAACCCATACCCAAGGCATCACAAAGAAAACACATATGATAGCAGCATTCTAGCATAAAATAAGCATAACTGCAACTCCTAGCCCTGTGAGTCAGGGAAGGACAGGAGTCACACCTATTTGAAGGCTTAAAAATAACATCTTACCATTGCACACCTGATTTTTTTCCCCCCTGCCTTTTTCATCTGCCAAATCCTGCATTTGGGATTCCACCACTTCCCCTGCAAGTGTTGATGGCCTCACTTACAACATAAAATAGCACAAGGCTGTGCAGAAGGTTTTGTTTTGTTTAAGGTGCTAAGTATATAAACAGCTAGCAGAAGAAACAAAACTTTTTCACAGGTATTTTGAAGGGTAAAAGCTTTCCAGTTCAGTTTCAATTCACCAGCCAAAGGAGGTGAGCAGTAAGCGTTGGGCACTGCTTGCTCACCTCTGGCAAAACCAAGAAAGGTCTGTCCTAGAAAATGGTGACATTCTAAAAGTAAAAAAGCTGATGTCATATTCATGTTAAAAAAACCCCCCATGACTAACATTTAAGTTAGAATAAACCTCTCTCTGATACAGTACCACATGGGTTGTTTTTAAATCACTGTTGTAGCCTGTGAACTAAAGCCACTATTGTATTATATTGATCAAAGAGTACTTGTATACATTTCATACCACTTACCTCTAGCTCTACTGATCGCCTGAACTGAACTCTGAGCACTTCTCTGATGGATTCACTGACATTTTGTAGAACAGCTCTTCGGGCCAGCACTGGAAATTAATGTCAGTCAGTAAATACTTTTTAGCTTCATCTCCTGGGCTTTGGTGCAAAGCTGCATTTTCAGTTGTGCAATGCATGAAAAAGCAGGCAATGAGATCAACTGCATCAAACGGATAAGACGATGGACAAGGAAACGGGTAAAGGTATGACTGTATCCTAAAAAGTGACTGTACATACAGTTCGAGGAACTTCAGGTTTACTTTCTCTCTCGTTTTGTTTTTCCATATGTAATGCCTTTAACATTCTAGTAAAAGAATCTTCTAAAGAGCCATTGAGGCATTCAAATTGGATCTGAAAGTCGAAGCACATTCAGTCTGACCTGTGCACAACGAGCTTGCTGTCATAACGCAGTTAAAGTTTTGTAGGCAACGCATGGAACGCAGATGAGGTCAGAAAAAAGCCACAGAAAATATGCATCTACTTTTCTTTTAAATAAAGGTAAACAAATTTGACATTGATTACTGAAAGGGATATCCACCGAGTAAGAAACTGCTTTAAAAATCCCACATCCCTATGGATGTCATGTCTGTTACATTAACACTTGAGACTGTGACTATGGTCAAGGAAACAACTGAAAAGTGTCGTGTTGTCATCCCGCATTTACTTTCCATCAGTAACTTGCCTACAAAACTACTCAAATTACAGGTTAAAAAGAATCTTCCTCATCACCAGCATAACCAGCTCACCTTCATATCTGAAGGATGAGATTATGCTCATTCTGCTTTACATATTACAAGTAAATCTTAAGGGCAAAATGTGTTGCTTACCACAGAACATGCAGCACTTCTGCAGCTGCCCTGGATTAGTTTGCTGGTATTGTTTTGTTAACAAGCTAGGAAGAGGTAGGAAAACACCACAAAAGCAAATACAGATGCTGAGACAATTAATTTTGAAACACACTAACGTCACTTTTTCTGGTTACAAACACACCAAATCCAATTGAAGTAAGTATGGGAGGAGGGAAAATAAAAACATAAGCTAGTACAGTAAAATTACAAAAATGGTAACGAAACCCAAATGTTTTTTAAATCAACTCTCCTCTTTCATGTTACAACATTACCTCACATGCAGGTTTTTTTTACAAACAGCAGCAACAACTGAAAGGAGAAACTTACTCAGTCAGAACATTTAATAGTTTGGCAGAACAGTACCACGACAGTAACATTCATTTACAACCCACGAAATGATAAAGCAACCTCTAATTCAGTATACTTGTATATACTTGTATATACACATCAGCAATTGTAGAAGACAATTTCATTCTCTGTGCAGTGTAACACACTATCACAACAGACTTTGTTCAAGTGAATTCTATTATTTTCAAGAGTAAATGATAAATCAATGCTTTTACAGCTGTTTGTCTAAATTTACACCATAGTTCTTTGAAAGATTCACTTAGCTAGTTCAACACCTGCAATTTAGCTAGGGGGTCACATTACACTGGCTTCTGAAAAACAAAATAAAAATGTTAGCAATATCTTACCCGCAGTGACTAAGTAAGCATCGGGAACCGTGATGTCGCAGACGTAGGGTTGCCTGGTAGTGGTCACGGCAGAGGTTACGACCACAGGTTCAGATGGAGTAGTGGTCGCCAGAGGGGTGGAGGAGAACGTCGCCGGGCTGCCTGCAGCAGTTGTGCCACGGCTGCCCGTGGCACTGGTGGCAGTGGTCGTGAGGACAGTGGTGGGAGCAGCCGATGCATCAGCAGTTACACTGCTTCCTGCTGGAACTTCATAGCCAGTGGGAGGGCTAGAAGTCGGAGCAAATTGCGTGGGAGCAAACGACATGGTCACAGACAGAGATGCTGTAGGAAAGGGCATCACGCTGCTGGCATCAGCACGTGACGTCGGATTGTCAGGGTCTGCGGGAGGAAGGGCTGTGTGGGTACTGCCCTCGCTGCAAGACGTTAAAAGCAGCGTGGGGTTAACTGTAGCACCAATATCCTCATCAGAAGCCGGAGCAGTTGAGAGCAGAGATGAAGATACATTTAAGACAGGAGTTGCCGGAAAGTTAGTAAACAAAGAGATCAGATTTGTTTCATTGAGCAAGATGCTGCTGGTAACAGACCGGGTGTCAGAGGCGGGCAGCACCAGGGTAGGAACCACGGAGTGAGAGGCGGAGAGTGAAGGCTCCAACTGAGAGGTAGGTCCTGTAACAGCTGAGGTAAACACAACTTCAGAGCCCGCTGGCAATACTGAGGGTGCTTCCAGAAACACAGATGATTCAGAGTGAAAATCTGGTGACAGTGTTATTTCAGGAACATGTGCACCTGGAAGAGAGGATGCATTTGAATAAAAGTATGATGTTTGGCCGAGAGGGAAGTGAGAAACCTCGGCGTCAGTGGCAGAGCTGACAGCAGTGGCTAACTCCCAGCTGGAAACATCCTCAGAAACTACTGATATGCCAGTCAACAAGGTCTGAGGTAAGAGTGTTGATAAATCACTTCGCATGACAGAGTAAGAATTTAGTATGGCCGATGATAAAGACAAGTAGCTAGGTTCAATAAGAAATGGTGTTGATAAAAGTTTGGATGGAAAATCTGAAATATTTAAAGATGGTTCTTCCCTTGTAGATGTCTTGTCAAGCAAAACCACAGATTCTGATGGCATTAATTCTGGCAACTCCAGCAAAGTCGTATGACTGACTGCAAACGACACTACAGGCTCACTCGGCATGAAGGTAGAGTCAAACACAACGGTGGTAGCATCAGGAAGTTCTACACGAGTGCTTGGTGTCAATGAAACTGTTTCCAGAACAGGGAGGGAAAACTGGGCAACAGAGATGTTCAGTGATGCTCCTCCAGGGAGCTGATGGGAAGAAGGAGAAATTGTTGTAGGTGTTCTGTTGTTAAGGACAGTGTCCATAGCGCTTAATAAAAACACGCTTGAATCGAGCATTTCTGCGAATCTTGAAGAAAATGAAACAACTGGTCTTGATGGAAAAGAAGTATCAAAAATCTCCGGTGGAGGCTCCTCTAATTCATACCTGTCAGTAACTATAGTTGTAAATGGAGTTATGCCTTGTACTTCAGAGGCTTTGATGGACAAAGTTTCAACATAATCGCCTGAGCCCACATCATGTTCTGTGGAAAAGCCTGCTTCTGGCAGAAGTGAAACTGAGTCACAATACAGACAAGAACTGTACGATCTCGTGAAAGGCACTGGACTCGTGAGCTCACTGACAAGCTCTGATTGACTTAATATTTCTGAACCAGCAGGCAAATTTGGTGCTGTACTGAAGAATTCACGCGTAAACAGACTGGCATCAAGAACTGTATTAGAGTCTGTGGAAATGGTAGCTGAGTGAAGCGGGAAAGATGCAAGTGGAAGACTAATAGGAAATAAAGCAGGCTCAGCACTGGCTGCTGAAGCCAGTGTAGCCCAGGGAATGCTTGGAGTGGGATAGGTCCTTAGACTGAGAGTTTCTGCTGCTCTGATACTCGCATAGGCATAAATGTCACCATACGGGTCTGCACTTTGTGCTGTGGCATCCGGGGTCACACGGCTATTTTTATCCAGCAGCTTGAGATGAAGAGGCGACCATTCTGAAGCAGCCCCAAAAGGCAGAGCTGTTAAACTTGCATTTACATTTTCCTGCACTGCAACTCCTGCCTCTGAAGGAATGGAAGTGAAATAAATAGCTGTATTTGGAGGGTACAACAGCAAGTCTCTACTTGCAGTTAGCATTTCACTATCTGGTACAAAAGGCTTCGATTCTGTAAGTGTGTTACTGCGTTCAGGGACAGCACTCAACCGAGTCTTTTGCTGTGCTGTTTTTGAGATATCATATGGTGAAAAAAGGACAGATAATGAAGGTGTTAGAAACACAGTTTCTAACGTTTCTCTTGGTGGCTCTACTGTATTAACTGAGTGATGATCTGTTAAAACTGCAAAAGACTTCAGTGGAGGAGTCCACTGTGCCTTTGGAAATGAGCTAATAAATTCATCGTCACTTAAGAATGCCTCATTGCTTGTTACGGAGACATCTACCAGTGGCGTACTTCTCCCTTCTGACATCCTGACCATTTCTTCTTGGTTAAATAAAGTCACATCAAAGGGAGTGGTAACTGATGATAAAACAGTTTGAAGGAAATTACTTTCTTGGGACTCCAAAGTACTTTTTAGTAAGGCCATTTGTGTCCTGCTGCCTGATATGCTTTGGTGCACCTTTGAGTCCGTTGAGAAAAAGGAAAAATTTTGCTGCTCCAAGGATCTCTCATCTAAATAAAGAGGGAGAGAGAAAAACAAAAACCAGAAAACACCAGATTAGCACAAGTCGTAAGATCACAATGAGCAAACCTCACACGCTATTTCTGGAGACAACTGCCCAGAATTCAAGGGCTGAGACAAAACCTCCATGAGTGAGTCAGCACAAATAGTAAGATTCCCTGTGAAACTCCATTCCCTGGAAATGAGCAGGACAACACGAGCTCCTCTCACTCTGCACCTACTTGTCTCTCTACACAGCATTCCAGCGAGCCCCACGGAAGGACAGAAAGTGGCTCCCTCTTACCTATGCAAGGCTACAGTGCATGGCAGCTAATGCTCTCAGAAAGTAAACAAACCAAAAAGCGTAACAAGGAACAATGCAGGGAAAAATTTTGCGTAACTTTAGGTCTTCTGCTTTCCTTCAGTATCACTTCATTTCCTCCAGTTTTATTATTTCTTAATATTAGGCTCACTAGCAGATCTGTTCTGTTTCAAGGACCAGATCCTCCCTCTCCCATCAGAAATGAGTGACACTTACGAGAAATGAAGAGGGCTTCCCTTTACGTAAGGCAAACGTGGACCTGATATCAACTACAAGAATTTGCTAAGTAACATATCCAGTAGTTACGCTTACATTGTCAGCCATTCATTTAACTCCGGCCTTTTAGCAGTCAGTGACAAATTGCTTCATTACACAATTGCCATCTTTATTCACAACCCGCTGCAGGAGTACTCTGTTTATGGGCCACCTGTAATAAAACTTCCACTGCTCCAGTTTGCAGAATTCAAGTAGTAATAGCCGGGTTCAAACAAGAAGGAGAAAAAGCTAAGAATTCACCAAATATTTTAACAAAATACTTGCAAAAATCATATATGAGTATCATTTGTATAACTTGACTGTAATTCCTCCTCTCTCACAAAAGTGTTCTTGGGTTGCAGAGAAGATCTGTATATAAGCTTTTCCAACCATGGATGCGTTTTGCAGAGGAAAGGTTGATTATTGCTTGAGTACTTTTCTGAAATGTCAAGACTGGATTAGTAGCTTTCAGAGCTGAATATTAAAGGAAATCACAGAAAATTGCTGCAGGATATTTTTCAAGGATACACACAAAGGCTTCATCCTTAAATTATCTATCCCACCTGATCATTCTGTTTTCATGTGGGAGTGTCCACGCAATGCTGCTGGAACCTACTGACAACGCACATTAAAAAGGCTGGTGGGGCGGGAATCCCATCCAGTTAAACCACCAGGGATCAGTTTAAAATAAAAACGAGCATACACAGTATAAAGTGCCGGACGGTGATGCAGTACACTGCTCAACTGTAACTACATTTGTAACCCTTTAGAGAATGCCGTGAACTCAGTAACGCGTGGTACATCTTGCAGGAATAGCTCACCTATCTGTTATGCACTGTTATCAGTTTAACAACACTTTCCAAAGGTGATAAACTGCTGTAATCACCCCCTCTTCCCTGGTCTGTTTGCTAAATTCCTTGACACAACTTTTCAAGCGCTGACATACCGACTTGATAAATTCTGAAGCTGCTGATCTGAAAAGCACAATTACATGAAATTAATGCACACAGCTAATACCACTAAGTATTAGTACCACTAATCACACTTAATCAAATGAGCGCTGTGACTATATACTTCATTTTACAAATCCCATGCACAATGTTTTGCAGCATAGCCGATACTATTCTCTCAAGTTGTCCCAATCCATTTTCTCCTCCTGAAACTCACTGCAGGCGTGGCCAGCTTTATGATGCTTAGTTGTGGTGTAATGATAAAATATACTGCCTTACAAAGCTCTCAGGGCAAAAAAAAAAGAAAAGAAAAAACAGGTACACTCTTATAAAAGCTATGTAAGACAAATACACAAGTCCATCCTTGACTTGTCCCACGGAGGTCAGCTGTTTGAACATGGCACAGTGCAGCCACCACTGAGTAACAGGTTTCACAAGCAGTTAACGTGGGTAACAGACAGTTTCTAGCAAGCATGGAACCAAAACATGGACCCTGAGCCAGCCCCCGTTTTCTGACCAAAAGCTGTTCAATGTTTTCTCTTCACTAAAAGTCTCCCTAGCCTCGCTCCTTCCTTTTACTTAGGCTTCCAGCCTTTATTTTTCTCTTTGTGACATTTTGAGTAAGCAGGGAGCTACTAAAGGAAAAGACTTACAAGGCTATGAAACAAACACTGCCAAAGTGAATCACTCCCTACACGCATGCACAATTACTTTTAGCCAGCCCTATAAAATCCTGTCCACCTCGGTCACACTTTGGACACCTAGAGCTTGCTTACAGTGAATTCCAAATTGCAGGCAAACATTGCTAACAGATAAAGTTGTTCTTGTTCATGACGGCTTCATGTTGTAAATCCCTGCAGCAGTAACACAAGACAGCTGTGTTAGTTCAACGCAGTAAGCGTGGTAAACATGGAACAGTTAATACGATCGGCAAAGGTGCATACATACTAATTAGTAACTGCACTTTTGATCACATATGTCTACAATTCTTTGACCCAAAGGTGATTCCACAAACAAAACAGTTTCACTGCCTATACACGCCTATGCTGTGTATCATCATCTTCCTTCACCCATAGAGAGCTCCCTTTATCTTTGTTCAATTTGATAGGCAAGATCCTGCTGGAGGTGACTACATGTCACAGAAAGATGTTCTGAAGAGTTACTTGCACTACCATAAGCTGTCCAATAGACATGCATAAGAGGCAAGGGCAATCTTGGCTTTAAATTCATTATGACTTTAGAATTAGTTTTTTCTTGACAGTCTGCTAATATTTTTTCCTTGAAAAGCATAAAGTAATAATAAATAACAATTTTATCATACACCTGTGCCTCTTAATGTAAAGAATCTTGCCACCAGGAAGGTGGCAGGATGCCAGGAAGGAAAGAACACAACTTCTGAAAAAGATATTTCATTTTTTTAAGGAAAACACACTGTGTCTTGAAAAAGCTACAAGCTATAAGACAAGGTAAGAGCATTGTTACTTGAGGTAAGTGGAGTGGGAAAAATTCACTTGCGCATATAGCATTTTGAAACAATAACTCACCGGCAAGTTCGAAAGCCAATGTTCCACGCTATTTATAGAATCACAGAATCACAGAATTGCTTTGCTTAGCGTTTTAGAAGCAGGGAGCATTAGTGATGTGCCATTAATAATACAAATTATTGTTTTCTCTCATCTCCAGAAGAACAGAATACTACTTGAACACTGCTTGTGGGAACTGCGCGCACCTCTCGTGGAGAGCAGATGGGACGTGCGGCAGATGTGCCTGGGAGCAGCCAGACAGCCCACAAAGAGCAAGGAAAAGCAAAGGAAAAAGGCAAGGAGGTGAAGGCACACCACGGCACAACAATCATGCCCTCATCAGCACAGAGCAGCCGATCTGGCTATACCAGAAAGACAAAGAAAGCAGACAGATTGCACATGTTCTGGTGTATCTCAATGCCATGACTGCACAAAGCTATTGATGAATATCAATGTTGACTTGCTTGTTTGCACAGCTGCTGTTGTTGGGTGATGGTTTTGCAGTCCAGCAACTGTACTGCCATTGAGCTAGGCAACAGTGACACTGACGACAATCAGACAAGCCAAACTCCGCCAAGCTGAGAACATTATGAAAAAGAGTAGATAGCAGAGGAAGCAAAGCTGTGATCCCAAGCTACAGCAAAGGGGAGGAAAGGAGAGCACTTGTGGCAGGGGCCACGGGAGGCACAGATGGCACCAGTACAATGCCTCAGCTCAGACAACGACATTCGGACACGGGAGGAGTGGCAGCATAGGAAATGTGCTGATGTGCTTGGGGTGACGAACTCTCTGCTGCTTCTGCTGCCCCCCAAAACTGGTAAGAGCCTGGACGAAATTCACAAGTAATGGAACCTGTCACTGAACACAACGACCTCTTCAGCTGCGAAATCTGTATTTACAGAAGCACGGCCGTGCACCCTTAACGCTGGCACAGACTTGTGTGAATTTGCGAAGGGCCGTAACACCAGTCCAGCACTTTCCCGTGACTACAGCAAAGGACTGCTGCAGTCTACAGACTTCTTTGGTGACAAAAATATACCGTGTCGGCTTGCCAGAAAACTATGTGTGTTCATAAACCAGGAGCTAGACTAGTCATTTTTCCAGAAAGCAATTAGAGGGATGTAGTTTTCATCCTTCGTGTAGCTGCAGTGTTGAAAAGTAATGTCTGTTCTATACTTCATAATAAAGTAAAAAAGGATAATTTTTCATATATATGTTTGTTATAATATATGCATATATTCATATGCTTTCATATTTCATTTATTTAGAATAAATACACTTTCATATATTTCTAAATGCAGGATCCAAGATGTAATCTCACCTCTGCCACTGATCTCTCATGTGACTTCAAAAAGGTTGCATCACTTTTCTGCATTCTGCTATTAAAATGTGGCAATCGTACACTATCACGACTATCAATATCTACTAAAATGTAGGTAATTTCCTATATTACGAAGACATTAAATTATGGATGATAGGTACAGGCATGACAACAACGAATACAACAGAAAAGTCTTTACTTGTGATAAAATTAAACCTTAAGAATAGAACTAGTAATTATTGCTCTATTATTTTTGAAAAACTAAGTAACAGCTAATACAGTTTGCAAACATCAGAAAGTGCCAGCAGACTAGCAGCAAACCAGTTCAAAACATCACTTAAAAAAAATGATCTTCTGTGTACTAGCACAATGATCTACAAAATTAAATTCTAGTACCTTCATTTTTCAGGCAAGGAGAAAAAATGCTCTTTTATTGCTGCCCATTGTTTCAAAAAGACGCATTTTAGGAGAGAGGCAACTGATGCCACATACGTTCCAAGTATTGTGGGAAAATTCCTATTATTCCCAAATTACTAAAATTACTAAAATTAAAG